TTCCTAAAGTTTCCATCCGTTTTTATTACAAATACGTGTTTGGATTGCATTTTTCATAATTTTTTATGAAAAAATTATTATAGCGATTTGATATATGTGAAGGAAAAAGATAATAGAAAAATGTGATTACGAAAAATGACGGAAAACAGCAATCCAAACAAGGCGGGGCAAACCAAAAAAAGGAAAAAAAGAAAAGGCAGTTAGTTCCATGGAAGGAGGAGGAGGTTATAGATGTCGGCAGGGGGAGCGGAAGACCCTGTTGTAGTTTTATTTCTTCGTCAATGAAATCAATAATGTCCAGTCCAACCGCGTTTTAACTTTATTCCTTCCCCTCGTAAAGAACCCACAGTTGAAAGATGCTCCTTTATCTTTATCCCACCAAAGGACCCACTGTTGAAAGAAGGTCCCGAAGACATGTGCAAGCACACAGTCTTCTTAATGGCTTCCATGATTTTATATTGTGGCAGGTAAGGTAAGGCAGCTTCGTTTTTCACAATCATGTTTCTTGCTTTAGTTTCTTCTAATTGGCTAATTCTTTCTTTTTCTTTTTGATAAATACTGCACCATATAGCATCGAAGTTCATCAGCTTATGAATCTATAGCCTCCTCTTCCTTCTTCCTTTCAAGATACTGCAAGTGGGCTGTCCTATAAACCAGAAGCCGCCTTCCCCAACGTTCTTAAGTTAGAAAGAAAGACTGAAAATGGCAGAAACAGTTCTCTCTTTTGTCCTGGATCAACTGTCAACTTTTCTGCGCGAGGAGGGACGACTACTGGGAGGGGTTCGGCAAGAGGTTCAATTCATCAGGGATGAGTTGGAGCAAATGAGAGCTTTCCTGCAAGAGGCAGAAGCAAAAGAAGAAGATGCTCAACCCACGCTCCAACAATGGATCAAGCAAGTGCGAGATGCTGCTTATGACACTGAGGACATTCTTGATGAATTTTTAGCTCGCTTTGCTCGGCATCGCGCAACAGGATTCTACGGCTCTGTTCGGAGAATTTTCAGCTCCATCAAGAATTTGAGAGCTCGTCATCGAGTTGCTAGCGAAATACAAGGCATCAAGTCCAGAATCAAAAGTATTTCTGAAGCTCATCAAAGATACCAATCCGAATATGGTATCTCTGCCCCAGCGTCCAACTCACTTTCGGCTGTGAACAACACAACCTGGCGCTATAGCAGAGATGACGCATTGCTTGTGGAAGAAGCTAAATTAGTTGGCATTGACCAGCCCAAGAACCGTCTTATTTCTGAGCTCCTCGAAGGGGATGATCACCAACTGAAAGTTGTTTCAGTGGTTGGTATGGGAGGACTCGGCAAAACTACCCTAGTGAAAAGAGTCCACGAGGATCCTGAAGTCAGAAGGCATTTCCCAGTTCGTGCTTGGGTGACTGTCTCTCAAACATGTGACTTTCAGTACCTCCTGAAAGACTTGATTCGGCAGTTACACGAGGAAGGGAAGAAACCAGTCCCACAATCGATCGAGTCTTTGAATACCACTGGGCTGAAAAAAATTGTCAAAGATTTTCTTCAACAAGCTGGAAGGTATGCAATTGTTTTTGATGATGTATGGGACGTGGAATTTTGGAATACCATCAAATTTGCACTGCCCGAGAGTAGTTACGGCAACCGTGTCATGCTAACAACTCGGAAAGCTGATGTAGCCTCTGCCTCTGGTACAGAATCTCTAGGTTATATCCACAGAATGGAGTCACTGTCCTTTGAAGATTCGTGGACCCTGTTTTGTAACAAGATCTTTAAGGGAAATAGTTGCCCTGGCCATTTGATGGATGTTGCCAAAGGTGTATTGGATAAATGTGAGGGCTTGCCCCTTGCGATTCTTGCAATCAGTGGGCTTTTGGCTTTGAAAGATGTAAACAGAACAGAGGAATGGGAGATAGTTCGAGGCAGTCTTGGGGGTGAATTAGAAGGCACTGGTAAGTTGGACAGAGTTAAAAGGATACTCTCTCTTAGTTATGGTGATTTGCCTTGGCATCTAAAGACATGCCTGTTGTACACAAGTATCTATCCAGAGGATTATGAAATAGAATGCGAAGGACTAATTAATTTGTGGATTGCTGAAAGGTATGTCGAACGGAGAGAAGGAAGGAGTATTGAAGATGTAGCTTGGGGTTATCTCACTGAACTCGTCAATAGAAGCCTAATTCAAGTGACTGGTGTGTTTTACGAAGAAGCACCCGACACTTGTCGAATCCATGACCTATTGAGAGAGATTATTCTTCTCAAGTCTAGGGGACAAAACATGGTCACAGTTACTACCGGACAACCAACGATGTGGCCGTCCGAGAAGGTACGCCGTCTAGTAGTTCATAGTAGTAGCAGTAACAACACCCAGCACCACCAACAAAGACCAAATTATTGCTTTGACCACCTTCGGTCATTCGTTACGATTGAATCCACGAACCAGCTACTATTCAAAACGCTGTTATCGGAAGTTTCAAGGAGTAGTAAGCTGTTAAAGGTTTTGGATTTGGGTGGTCAAGAGACCCAGGAGGAAATACCAAATGAGATTTTCAAGATGTTTCATCTCAAGCATCTGGATCTAGGTGGCACAGGAGTGGAGAGAGTCCCGAAAGCCATTGGAAAGCTTCAACATTTGGAGTATCTGGATTTGGGTCACACCAGAGTTAGGGAATTGCCCTTGGAAATCCTAAAGCTGCAAAAGCTTCGAGTTCTCAGAGTATATCAACCAGTTGATACTTCAGATGATGATTATGGATTTCATGGATTTAAAGCTCCCTCAAATATGGGAGGGCTTCTTGCCCTAGAAGAATTAAACTGCATAGATGCAAGTAGTGGATCCACAATAGTTAAGGAGAAAGGAAAGCTGACCCAATTAAAAAAGCTATATATTACAAAGTTAAGAAGAGAAGATGGAAAGGAGCTCTGCTCCTCCCTTGCCAACCTCACCAGTCTTCGGGAATTAAGTGTTGATTCAATTGGAAAAGGTGATGATCATGATATAATCGATCTAAATCATCATCATCCTTCTCTTTCTTCTTTGTTTCTTCAATCTCTTCGTATGCTGTTTTTGTGTGGCCGCTTAGAAAAGATGCCACAATGGGTAGCTCGTCTTCACGGCTTGATAAGAATAGATTTGGACTGGAGCAGGTTAAGGAGTGAGGAGGATCCGCTTGAATCCCTCCAACATTTGCCCAATTTGGGTGAAATTAATTTCTGTGGATCTTACCAGGGAGAAGAGTTGTGTTTCAAGGTTGGAGGGTTTCTAATGCTGAAGAGGTTGCACCTAAAGAGGATGGAAGGGTTGAGATGGATGAGAGTGGAGGAGGGTGCATTGCCTCGTCTGCATCTACTATTTCTGCAACAACTTCCATTACTAGAGGAGTTACCTTTGGGTATTCAGCACTTGAGCAATCTTCAGCGCCTGACTTTGTATGAGACGAGTTCTCAATTGAGAGAGAAGCTGTTAGAGAATCAGAAGGAAGAAAGTGAAGATTACACAAAAATCGCACACATTCCTGAAATTCTCATTGGTTACTATACAGATGATAGGAAATGGAGAGACCGCTGGCTGTGGGCCGAGAAGAAGAAAACATATAATCTTTCCTAGCAAGCAGCAATAGACGACATTGCATCTTTTTCCTTTTTTTTTTTCTGTATTTTACCTTATTTATTGTATACTACGTCCTGCATATTGTGTGATGTTGTTAACGACTTGATGTACTGTATATTACTCTTTTATTTTTATTTATTTTTGTTTCTTGATCTTTTCTATAATTGATTTGGCAAACGATCAAGAGGTAGGTAAGTTAGAAGTGTATTGATAATATCTAACAATAATAAGTTTACAATTGTAGTCAGAGACAAATATGTAAACCCAATTTGGTTTGTCAATACTGTCAATGTTAAAGTGAGGGTTAGTCTCACGTACTCCTGTAACTTCTCCAACTGGATAATAAATAGCAGGTCCTATCAAATTTCTTTAGACTTTCTAGCACATGCTCTATGAGAGCAAGGATGAAACGTTAGAAGAAAAATAGTGTAGCATGACTCTAATTTTGAAACAATGAAAAATATGAAAAAGTGATTTGATATGAACAATGGACCGAGGGAATATATGACTCATTTTAAGTGATAGGCAGCCCCCAATCTGTTCTTTTCTGTCCAAATTTGCCAATGTTTCAATTCACATTGCATATGATATGAAATCATTCATTATTGACTAGTATAATTACTTCGTGCAATAAACTTACAATGTGTATCACTGTTTCTTAAAAACATTTTTACACTGGAATTAAAATTAAAAACTTCTTCTATTATCGGTAATTGAAATTAAAAAGTACACATTTACACTTATATTTAACAATCATTTTCTTCATCTCCAATAATTTATGTTCTGCGTTTTCTGGTGTTTAGGAAAAAAAATGGAAACTAATTAGCGTTGTTTTATTTTGTTTTTTCCTCATCTTCTGTTGTCGAATGGAAACAAACATAATTAATGCCAACGAGCAAAAGTGGAAACAAACAACTCGGGATTGCAAATTCTTGTAAATTAATGCATGCACATAATTTTTTTTTAACGCATGGATTAAATTTTAAAAAATCTCCGTTGGTAGAACTGACAATTATGCAAAACCAGTTTGGTCTAGATAGACCTGTCTTTCCTCTAACCCCTTATATTACTCAGTTTGGCTCCTCCGCCTTGTAGAATAGAATAGTATAGATGTTGTTGATTGACAGGGAAAAAAAAAAAAAACAAAGAGTAAGAAGTCGTGATCAAACTGAAAGTTTTTAGTTATTTTTTAAGACTTATAGGTGGGACGAAAGGAATGGAGCCAATGTATGTGCATGTGAATTTAGAAATATTTGAGATAGGTACTCTAATATTCAATGTAATTAACATGGCAAAGGGACTGCTGTAATTGACCCGCAGAAATGCAAAATCCAGTCAAGTCTCCACAAGATCAATAATCACAGTAGTAATAACCTCTTTCTGCCCTGAAAGAATACTCAAACGGGTTTCTATATAATTGGAGCTCCATGTTGCGGGTGAAGAGCAAGCCTGGTGTAGGGAGCATGAGTGTATGAAGGTGAGAGCTTGAATGAGAAGTGCTGCAAAATCATAGCCAGAGCCAATTTTGCGTCTATCATTGCGAAGTCTAGGCCTAAGCAAATCCTTGGTCCCCAGCCAAAGGGATAAAATGCCAATTGATCCCCTGATGCCTTGGAAACTCCTTCAGCAAACCTCTCTGGATTAAATTCTTCTGCATCTTCTCCCCAGTACTCAGGATCATGATGCAACAGCATTATTGGTAGGTAAACTTCAACCCCTGCAGGGATGGAAATGGCCCCTACCTTAGTTCTTTGGACGGTATATCTCACCGCGCAAGTTACCGGTGGATATACTCTTAGGACTTCAAACAACACCATTTTGACCGACAACAACTCAATGGATTTGACAGAAGGGCCACGAATATGCTATTTTATTAGATCGAGGGCCAAACCTTTATTGTTAATTATTAAAAAGCTAAAACTTAACTTAAAAAAGAGTTGGAGGGGCATTAGAACTCTTTTCCCTAAAAATTAATAATGATAGTGAGACGGAACGGATGCACCCGGAGAGTATGGGTAGGGACAGGAGTTGGTGAGCAGGCAAGGGGAAGGGCGGACGGGGGAAGCCGGAAAACCGCCTGTCGCCGTGAACCACCCTACCGGCCCACCCACCCTTATTCGCTGGTTACATCCTCGCCACTTTTCTACATCATATGTAGTACAATCTCTGAGGCCTAAATTAATATCCCACTAGCAAACAAAGCATTTATTCTCTTGATAAGTAGTTTCAAAACGAAATTTAAAAGTAATGTTTGGGCCCTTGGGGTCGTTTTGAAATTTGATCCTCAATGAGTAGGGGATGCTTACATTAAAATTTGATGAAATAGTTGTTGTTTATGGTCCCTTTATGCATCTCTCTTTCTCTTCTCGTCGCCTTTGGGTCAGTTTTTGTCCATTTGAAGAAAAAACTAAATCCTCAAAAACTAAATAATTTTTGAGCATCAAAGTTTATGATTAAACTGAAAGTTATTAATTCTTTTCTTAGGACTTAGAGGTGGGACGAAAGGAATGCAGCCAATGGATGTACCTGTGAGCTTAGAAATATTTGAGACAGCGACATTTTCTGACTTATTGCATTTTTTTTTTTTTTGGAGATAGGTTAAGTTTATTAAATGCTACGCATGATCTTGTAAAGGATTTTTTCTGGAGTTTGCTTTCCTAAAGAAATATTTCACTGCATGGCCAAGGGGCAATAGGTGATTAATTCAGCATTGTAGTGTTGTACTTGAGATGATGCTTCGGCTGTTGAGAGCCCTGATTAATTGCTATGTTTAGAGGAATTGAGAGACAAAAGATCTCCAAAAAAAAAAACAGTCAATAAAGTTATGGCTGCAAATGGAATTAATTCAGATGCGTGGAACACTTTTAAACTCCTAAGAGCAACTCCAATGGCATGTCATCAGAAGGCTTTTAAACTCCTAAGAACACCTTTAATACGTCCCATGACACGGCCGTGTAATAAGCATCATAGGTATCATTAGAATGATGTGTATAAATGCTACTGAAAAAGAGGAGATAGTAGACCCTTTTTTACAACGGATAAATTTGGTTAAACATGGACAACGACTAAAATTTCATGGTGCAAGTTAACGTTCATTTCATGGTGCAAGTTAACGTTCATTAAAATAAATATTTGATTTGATTTGATTATGGACCCATACTATTATATCACGTGAAATGTAATCCATTGTAAGTAAAAATATAATAAAAAAGGAAATAGTAAAATACTGATATAGAGTAGAGTGTAATCCACCGTGAATCTCCTAAGTATGTGTAAAAACTTGCACCTTATATGTCCAAATGGTACTTTGATATTATTGAATTGGCACGAATTTTTAGTTCACGCCGGTACAAATATTTAATAATATAATTGCCATGGCAAAGGGACTGCTCTAATTGACCCGCTGAAATGCAAAATCCAGCCAAATCTCCACATGATTATTTACCAATTTGTAGTCACCGTAGCAATAAGCCCTTTCTGTCCTGAAAGAATCCTCAAATGGGTTTCAATATAATCGGAGCTCCATGCTGTGCCTGAAGAGTAAATCCGGCACAGGGAGCATGAGTGTATGAAGGTGAGAGCTTGAATGAAAAGTGCTGCAAAATCATAGCCAGAGCCAATTTTGCTTCTATGATTGCGAAGTCTTGGCCTATGCAAATCCTTGGTCCGCAGCCAAAGGGATAAAATGCCAGTTGATCCCCTGATGCCTTGGAAACTCCTTCAGCAAACCTCTCTGGATTGAATTCTTCTGCATCATCTCCCCAATACTCAGGATCATGATGCAACAGCATTATTGGTAGGTAAACTTCAACCCCTGCAGGGATGGAAATGTCCCCTACCTTGGTTCTTTGGACCGTATATCTCACCGTGCAAGTTGCCGGTGGATATAATCTTAGAACTTCAAACAACACCATTGTGACCTACAAGAACAATTCATGGAGGTAAATTAAGCAATTCTCCCACAGTTGTAGTCACTGGTTAATAGATAGCAACACCAAGAGATGATGGGGAAAGTTTCATGCTACCTTTTGCTAAGGTAATAGCGCACAGCAAAAGATTTCTTTGTATCTTGGACAGACTCAACAACATATTCATACTTACAATTTTGAGCCTGTTCAAAATTTCTCTGTCAGGGGCTGTCTTTCCACAATTTTGGAGAACTTCTTGCCTGGCCTTCTTTTGCCAGTCCGGCTGCATAGACAGGAGGATAAGAGTCCATGTAAGCCAGTTAGCAGTGGTCTCTTGGCCGGCAAAGTAGAACTGCTTACACTCCTCTATTACATCTTCAATTGTCAGTTCATTTCCCTTTTCTTCTTTGCATTGCAACAGCAATCCAAGTAGATCAGCATTACCCGCTTCGCCATCTTGCATTGCCTTTTGCTTCTTGCAAATTAGAACTCTTAACATTGCTTTGATCTCTGTGTCCACCTGATATCTCCTTCTGTTCTTCTTAGTTGGTACAAACCTGTATAAGCGACCGTTCGAGCAAACTTTAGAGGTAAAACAAATGACGATTCATCTATCGATTGCATTGATTTTTTTACCTTATAAAACAGAACACAAAAGGATGAATTCGAGCTATGATATATTTGTTTCTTTCCAGTTTACAAATGGAAATCTACCTGAGTCCTGGGAGGTACAAGGCCCGATATGCTTCAGTTGCCAGCACGGCTTGCTCTTTTTGAAGTTCGAAGATCTTCTTTCCTTCCTTATAGCTACTTCCGAAGGCTGCTCTAGAAATCACGTCTGCAGAGAGACGATGCAATTCGGAATTGATATCAATTTCGCTTCGTCCCTCAGATGCAAGCAGCATCTTCCATCGATCAATGAGATTGCAACAACTTGCTAAAACCTTTGGTACCATTCCCTGTTTCCATAATTACATAGGGATGAGGTTCACTTCCCTTAATACTCAAGGCATGCAACTTCCATCAATACCCAAGCCATGCATGCAACATTCAGAGCTCGTGCTCTTCCTTAGCATAATTTGCAGAATTATGATACAGTTGGTGGCCGAATGACAATAAAGTTATTGCATAATTTTAGCATTGCATGAAATTATTGGGGAACATGTATCTTTGATGGGTAACCATTTTGACATCAGATTCACAAATGTTCTTTTTAAGGTTAATTAGACCTACTCCCGGGGTTTAAGCAAATTACTAGGAGAACCTCGTAGTTTGTCCAAATTACAATTGCCCCTTTATGTGTAACAATATTCAAACATAACTAACGGTAGTAGAGAAATGACAAAATTACGCTCTGCAGAAAACTGCATTATCTCCTTTGAGATTTGTCCAAATTACAAAAAGGACTTTATAATTTGCCAAAATGCAATTTAAGATTTTAATAGCCAACCACTTTTCTTAAAAAAAAAAAAAAGAAAAAAAAAGAAGCCCCCTTAATGGGATCCAAGAAAAATAAACTCAAACTAAAAGAAAACAATCGATTACTAACTCTTAAGAAATGAAAACCAAAAAACCTCTTACTTTCTCCTCTCTTTTTTTCTATGGCTTATTTCGTTCGCCACTAAACTTTCCCAACCCATTATTCCATATATCAATTATCAAATTTATTTCAAAGTAAACTCCAGATTGCGATAATAATTTTGAGCTAGACTATGTGGTCTTTTATTCATAATATAATTTAAAATTTTATCCTTAATATTTATTTGCTTTTTTAGAAAAAGAATTTGAGCATTTGCAAATTGACATGAAAAAGGGTTCTTTTATAGAAAAATAATAATGATGGTGTTTAAAGAAAATGTATCAATAACCAAAACACTATTATTAATGATGTCATATGACTACGGATTTTGTTACACTTACAGTTGTAACCTAATGGTCGGACAAAAAATTATTAATTAATGAAAATTTTTAGGATTCAATCAAAAAATCCATTGCAATTTACTAATGGTGAATGTTAATTTAATAAAAATTTGGCTATTTAAAGCATTAGACTAATTTGCATAAGCTATATCATTCATTTTGCCATTTGGACAAATCTCAGGAGGTACGTGTAATTTGGAAAAACCTCAAGAGAGGTAATTCTTATCAACTCAATCTAGAAGGGGTATTTTGGTACCTTTAGACATATTTTACTGATGTAAGCATCCTTTCTAACGACAATTAATGGGGGATATTTGTGAGATTTGACTTTAATTTGGTCAGATCACAGGATTTGTATGGTTCTTTGGTCAACTCTTAAGAGATAGATGTAATTAACCCTTCCTTTTATTTCATGCATTTAGTGAAGGATGTTTCACTTTCTTTTCTTAAAAAAAATTTTGAAATCTTTGTCGAAACCTAAGGGCTAATGGCAATTTGCACCTTAAACTATTATTCCTTTACCTTGCACCCTAAGTTATCACCTATAGCAATTAACTAACTTAACCATCAGCCTTAGGCTGGTGGCCACCACCAAGCCTTAAAGGCTTTGGTGGGAAACCTTGCCTCCCACCAATTTGTCACATTTGTGGTTCTTCAAAAGATCCAGACCGGTGCGTGGTGCATCCGTTTGATCCGGTGGTGGTTCTGTCCCCATTGGTTCTCCATAGGTCCAGTTAGGTCTCCCCGTAATTAGATTAAGATAGAGTAGGAGTAGTGATGACGATTGATAAAAAAAAATTAACTAACTTGTACAATCAATTTATAGAACAGTGATTAAATCAGTTAAAAATCAAGATATTTTGATGGCATTTTTTATCAAAAAGACTTTAGAACCTCTAAATGAATAAGAATATTTCGTTAGTACCTCTAAATAAACACGTTTTTCCTTTCTTTTTGGTTCAAATATTCTAGAGGCAAATTCAACCCTT